CCTTCGAGCCCTCGACCATCAAAGGTAGTGCATCTTCTATCCTACCTCCTTTTGAGTGCGCCTTCGAGCCCTCGCCTTATTTCTTTTCTAGTGCGCTTTCGAGCCATCGACCATCAAAGGTAGTGCATCTTCTATCCTATCTCCTTTTGAGTGCGTCTTCAAGCCCTTACCTCATTTCTTTTCAAACACGCCTTCAAGCCCTTGACCATCAAAGAAAGTGCATTTCCTATCCTACCTCCTTTTAAGCGAGCCTTCAAGCCCTCGACCATCAAAGGTAGTGCGTTTCCTACTGTACCTCTTTTTAAGGGTGCCCTCGAGCCCTCATTTCCTTTCAAGTGCGCCTCCGAGCCCTTACTTCCTTTGAGCCTCTATATATTGAATAGTGCGCCTTCGAGCCCTATCTTGTCATTTTTTAAAAAAAGTCTCGTATTTTTCCACTGGGCAGGTAACCCATTACAATGTGACCATCTGATAAGGTAACCCATTACAATATACCATCCTGAAAAATCCTCGTATTTTTCCATTGGGCAGGTAACCCATTACAATGTGACCATCTAGATAGGTAACCCATTACAATATACCATCATGAAAAAATCTCATATTTTTTCCATCGGGCAGATAACCCATTATAATGTGACCATTTTGGCTGGTAACCCATTACAATGTACCATCCTGAAAAATCCTCGTATTTTTCTATATGACCATCTAGGCAAGTAACCCATTACAATGTGACTCTTTTGAAAAATCCTCGTATTTTTCCACTAGGCATGTAACCCATTACAATGTGACCATCTGGGCTGGTAACCCATTATAATGTACCATCCTGAAAAATTCTCATATTTTTTCACTGGGCAGGTAACCCATGACAATGTACCATCCTGAAAAATCCTCGTATTTTCCCATTAGGCAGGTAACCTATTACAATGTGACCATCTGGGCAGGTAACCCATTACAATGTATCATCTTGAAAAATCCTCGTATTTTTCTACTGGGTAAGTAACCCATTACAATGTGACCACTGAACAGGTAACCTATTATAATGTGACCATCTGGGCAGGTAACCCATTACAATGTATCATCTTGAAAAATCCTCGTATTTTTCTACTGGGTAAGTAACCCATTACAATGTGACCACTGAACAGGTAACCTATTATAATGTGACCATCTGGGCAGGTAACCCATTACAATGTACCATCTTGGAAAATCCTCGTATTTTTCCACTGAGCAGGTAACCCATTACAATGTGACCATCTGGGCAGGTAACCCATTACAATGTATCATCTTGAAAAATCCTCGTATTTTTCTACTGGGTAGGTAACCCATTACAATGTGACCACTGAACAGGTAACCTATTATAATGTGACCATCTGGGCAGGTAACCCATTACAATGTACCATCTTGGAAAATCCTCGTATTTTTCCACTGAGCAGGTAACCCATTACAATGTGACCATCTGGGCAAGTAATCCATTATAATGTACCATCCTGAAAAATCCTAGTATTTTTCTATTAGGCAGGTAATCCATTACAATGTGACCATCTGGGCAAGTAATCCATTATAATGTACCATCCTGAAAAATCTTTGTATTTTTTCACTAGGCAGGTAACCCATTACAATGTGACCAACTAGGTAGGTAACCTATTATAATGTGACCATTTGGGCCTGTGACCCATTACAATGTACCATCCTGAAAAATCCTTGTATTTTTCTACTAGGTAGGTAACCCATTACAATGTGATCATTTAAGCTGGTAACCCATCACAATGTATTATGCTGAAAAATCCTTGTATTTTTCTACTGAGCAGGTAATCCATTACAATATGACCAACTAGGCAGGTAACCCATTACAATGTGACCATCTAGGCTGGTAACCCATTACAAAGTATCATCCTAAAAAATCCTCATATTTTTTCACTAAGCAGGTAACCCATTACAATGTGACTATCTGGACAGGTAACCCATTACAATGTGATCAACCTAAAAAATCATCGTATTTTTCAATCATCGAGTAGGTCGCCTGGAATAATTAGACCACTCGCAAAACCCTTTTCGCGGTTCTATTTTTCATCGAGCCGGTCGACTAGAACAATTAGATCACTTGTAAAATTCTTCACGTTTCTTTTATCATCGGGTAGGTTGCCCAAAACAATTTGATCTATTTTTTTAAAAAACAAAATAAAAGAAGTGGGCCGTCTTCCAAATGACATGTTCTCTCTGTAAAAGTCATATGTTAATTTATTGTTTTCGAAGTTTTCAAGACTCCTTTTCGTATCTACTTTTCTTTTTAAAATTTACTACAAAAGGCTAAAGAAAATGAAATTTTCTAATGTTTTTGTATTGTAAATATTATAAAAAAGAGGCAACTGTCATAACTTAATTTTTGAACAAATAATAAAAATTAAATATAGTTGACAATGGGGTTAAGATAACATAAAATTTGAGGTTTAAGGATGTAATTATAAAATTTAAGAGTTAATGGATCAATTTTGAAAGAATTGAAAATTAAAGATTTAATTAAGAGTCAAATTGAACAATCTAGAAATTAAGGACTGTTTTGTAAACGGTGTTATAATATAAGAATTTAATTGAAAGTAATCCAAAAGGGAAAAATTTAAAAGAATTAATTAAGGATCAAATTGAATAATCCAGGAATTAAGGACTGTTTTGTATACAGTGTACCAATTTCGCGATTTAATTGAAACTAATCCAAAAGGGCAAAATTAAAAGAAATTTTTAATTGCTTAGGGGTCCATTTGTTGAATTTCCAAAGTTCAGGGGTCAAAATGAAAGAATCCATTGCTGCTGAAACATCGTCGTTGTAGGTGGAACAGCCGTGTTTGTCTTCTCCATCCTGATTCAACAGGCTGAAGATCTGCAACAAAGTCGATCCAATCATGGACCGCGTCTCTCACCCACAATCTCTTCGGGGAAGATAACAATCCTGGTTAAAGGAAGTGGTTGGGGAGTCTATAAAAGGAGGAAGAAAACCTAGAACAAGGAGGAAAAAAGAGAGCCGAAAAATCAACCCAGAAAAACAGAGTTAAGAACAAAAAAAAAAAAACAGAGAAAACAGAGCACAAATCCAAATACATAGAGAAAGAGAGAACAAGAGGGTAGTACATAGTGAGGAGAATTATCCTTGAAATTGTCTTCGGACCTGCAAACAAAGAAAAAACCCGGATTTAACCAAAGAACACTCACAGCAAGCCAGAATCTTCTTTGTAGTTTTAGAAACTACTGAGAAATCAAGAAGGAAAGCACAGACAAGTGGTTACAGAAGGAAGACCAGAGGAAGCAGTAGGTGAGAATCATCATCAACGCTGCAAGCATCTTCGATCTCCAGAAGCAGGTATGACTTCGTCCCCTTTGCATCTTCATTTCAAAAAGTAATTCAGTGTCACAAGAACACTTAATTACCTTCACACAGTGTTCGTGCGTGCGTGAACAAGTCACGCATGCCTTTAGTTTTTTTGCCCAGCCGAGTCTAGCCCAGCTCAAAAATATAAATAAAAAAATATATAATAAAAGTTATGTATGTATAAAAAATTCATATTTTATTTATTTATTCATTAATATTAGAGTTAGAATAAAAATATCAATTTAAATTTATTTAATTATATTTTATTTAGTTATATAAAAATAAAAAAAATATGCATGCAAAAAAAAATAACATAAAATAAAATAAATTTATTTGGTATATTCATTATTGCCAGAGTCAGGAATAAAAAATACAAATATAAATTTATTTTATTTTATTTTATTATTTAGTTACATAAAAATAAAAATAATGTGTATGCGTAAAAAATAAATTGATTTTATTTGGTTATTCACTGACGCTAGAGTCAGAAATAAAAAAAATGATGATTTAAATTTATTTATTTTGATACCTATGTAATATTTATCAATACTAGAGTTGGAAATATCCGTAGTTGAATATTTATTAGAACCAGAATCAGGAATATTATACATAAATAATCATAGTATAAACCAATAAAAAATGTTAATAATTAATGACAAAGATCAACAATGCAGCCTGTCTTAGGCAGGATGTTTAAGGAGTGATAACATCTTTTTTTTTACTTAACCAGTTTCGGATCATAGAATCTCTATTAACCAGTTAGGGTTTTTAGTAATCGTAATACTAAGTGACGACTCTTTAAACAAAAAATATTCTCATTAAAAAATAGAATGTTAGAAATTTATTGTTTCCAAAGATTATATAATATTTTAAAATCATCGCAATATAGATGCAATAATTATTATTATTAAATTTCATTTAATCTAACTAGTCAATCCAACAATTTACTAATTTAGTGTTTAATTTTTGTTGGATTTTATTTATGAAAAAAATAAAAATTAACTTGTTAAATGTCGGTTAATTTAATTGATTTATTTAAACTTTGACCAGATCTGTCCAGTAAATACCTATGTTTTCTTAAAAAAATTATTTTATAAAGCCACATCATTTTATTTTAGAAACCAAGTTCTGGATGGATCTGAATTCACCCACATTGAACATCAGGTAAATCCGTGACCTCGGGACCGAATTTGTACATGTTCCTTTAACTATGCCGCGAACAAGAGCAAACATCACTATCGACAGCGTAATCCTGTCCTTGGATTGGTTAGGAGACTGGCACAGGAAAGAAAACAAATCACCAAGGTACAGTTTGTCGGTCAGGGAGGTTGGTCCACCATGGCTATTATGACCTGGAAAGGACCCACAAGCCCATCTAAACAGCCCGTGTCATCAATCACTGGCCCATAGGATATGATCTCAGCGTCAAAAAATCCCACCGCCAAAAACTTCTTTTCAGCTATTTGTTTGCTCCTCCTGAACCAGCGACACATAATCTTGTGTTTTTGGTAATTAAATGTAAGATATTTTTGAAAAAAAATACTTTTTTATAATTTTTACACTGGCACATTTAAATTATTAAAAAAATACTGAATTGATATATATTTTTTTTAATAAAATGTAATTTTAAAATGCATTCAAAGGTAAAAATGAATTGTGCTTTTCAATATTGTTAATTACCTGCTGCATTTTACTTTCAGGTAAACTTTTTTTTTTTCTTTTTCCCCATTTGGGAGATTTATTAGTTATGTGTAATTCATGTTTTTTTACTCTTTATTCACAGTGTGCTATGTCCTTCTTACCCTTTAGGCCTGAAAAGGCAAGCCCCAGATTCTTCCAGGGACAAAAAAATATCTTTTAGATAGGATGCCTGGTGGACTAGCGAATCAATCCCGACTTGACAATTTGGATGGTGGAGTTTGAGGCAGTTTGAAATTGTGTTTTAAATAGTTTTTTTTTT